AGTGAATGTTTGAGGAATGAGTAGCTGGGCCGGCACTGTGTACAACGAGAGCGTGGAGGGTGGGAGGAGAGGAGCTGTTTCCAGGCACCTCCTGCCTCGCACAGCAGGCTGACAGGGCCACGGAGGGGATCTAGGCCCTGCCTCCTCACTAAAGTGAGTGTGTTCATATATGCGTGTCAGTGTGTCTCTGTATCTGTGCACATGAATGCAGGTGTCTGAAGAAGCCAGAGGTATTGGGACACCATGGAGCTGGAGTTGCAGGTAGTTGTGAGTCACCTGATGTGGGTGCTGGGACTTGAACTCAGGTCCTCTGAAAGAGCAGTATGTGTTCTTAATCACAAACCATCTATTCTTCCTTTTTTTTCCCTACATGGGGGACAGATTCCTAGTATACCTGGGAGCAGAGCAGTACCACTTGGAGGGCACAAGGCACAAAAAGAGGCCAGGACACTTGAGAGCCAGGTAAATGCATAGACAACAGCAATGACCGTAGAGGCCCTAGAGAAGGAGTTTAGTTCCTGGGAGCTCAGGGCAAGCTTGCTAAGCAGAGGGGCCATAAATTAAATTCAAAGTTACACAAGTTGCTCTCTTCCCAGAGTTTTGGGTGCTCCTGGACCTGAGTGGAGGTGCGTATACCTTGTTTGACCACATAGACTACACACTGTCTGGAGGGGGGCGCATACTTAGGCACTGGGGGAAAGGGGCAGTACTCTGCCTGTAAAACCAGAGTACTTATGGCTTCCTTCTGAAATAGGCACATAGCCTTTACCCAGATTTAGGGGTCAAGAGTTGTGCTGCAATGTGTGACCTGCAGATGTTCCCCCCCACCCCGCCCCAATTCCTTCTTCCACCACGGTGGCAGAGTGGCTAGTTAATTGTGGCGTTATCAGGGGCTGACAAGTCACTGATAAAGGTGAGTGTTCCTGTGGCCCAGTCTCAGCATCCTGACCTCCCCATCCCCGTGTCCCTGCCGACCTGTCCTTTGAAGTCACCCAATTCACTCTGTCTGAACCAGCAGGTCGTCTTGGGTCCTCTCTCTGTGGCTCCTCTAATCACACCATGTGTCTGAGAAGAGTCTCTGACCCACAGCTCCTCTTGCCCAGCCCACAGCCCTGCCTCTACCCAAATTGTGGGATCAATTTAATTTCTCCCTCTGTCCTCCAAGACTCTACTGTTTTCTTCTGTGCACTCCAGTACTGATCCTGCCATTCCAGAAAGTCAGTGGCTCCCCATTGTCCCTCAAACTCATCACAGATACCCAGCTTGGTGTTCAAAGTCTTTCCTGCTCATATGATGGCTCTCAGCTTTCATTCCTTCTCACTGTGATGGCCCCTGCACTCCAAGGCTCCAGGCACGCTTCTACCTAAAAAGCCCTCTCCCTCTTAAGCTGCACAGATCTCACCCATCTACCCAGGCCTGCACAAATGGAAACTCTACCCCCCATCCCCAGAGCTGGACATACACTCCACCTCTGAGCATTCCCAAGAGCCTCTCCTAGAGCCAGAAACTCCACAGCATCAGAGTTTGCTGAGCCTGCAGTATGCAGAGCATGGCACTGGGCACATCTGGGGAGTAAGTGGTGGGAAGCAAGCACTCAGTAGTAATTGCTTGAGCAGTGATTAAGTGCTTCACCCCTGCTAGGCATCAAGGTTATATGGCTGAAAAGAGCAGGTCTGGTGTTGGCCTATGGTATGGACAGGGCCATGATCTCTAGAACACGCTGACAATGGGCTGCCTGGTCTATCTATCAGGGTTTGGCCTGCTGGCTGTGTATTTGTTTCAGGTCACACAGAGTCAACATTTTCCCTTGGTGCACCATTTGTCCAGGTCTGTGTATATTTAGGATGCTTCAGAGGCTCACACCCTGCAGACTCCAGCACCCTCCAGGCTGCCCCCAATGCTGGCAACCTGAGAGATCAGGAGGCCCTGGCTTGTCCTCAGGCTAGCCTGCTAACTGAGATGAAGAAGCAGACGGCCTCCCATCTTCTTTCCTATCCACCTTTCTGTACCAAGGGGGAGAAGGGAGAGGAAAATCCTCAGATGAGACCTTTCGTTCAGTGTCACTGTGGCTCACAGACCCCCAGTGCCACAAACCCACTACCCACCAAGGCTGAGAGTCATGCTACCACCACACTGCGTGGCCCTGACCAGTCATAATAGACAGGCATGTGGGGAGTGAGAGGAGGTTGAATCCGAGTCCTGGATCAGTGCCAGATTGTTCATTGGTTCTGGGATCTCTAGGGAGGAACAGGGTACCAGAAGTGCATAATCTTCTTTAGTTACTTACTCACTGGAGTAGAAGTATTCTTTTTTTTTTTAGAGTTTATTTTATGTGCATTGGTGTGAAGGTGTCAGATCCCTTAAAACTGGAGTTATAGGCAGTTGTGAGCTGCCATGTGGGTTCTGGGAATTGAACCTGGGTCCTCTGGAAGAACAGCCAGTGCTCTTAATCACTGAGCCATCTCTCCGGCTCCCAGAAGTGTTCTTAATCATTGTAAATCAGCGCCGGTATATGCCATTCCTGTGGTCCTGCCACCAGCCAGACAGTCAAAGGAAATACAGTTGAAAACCACATATTTTATTGATATTCTTCATTAATAACAGAGGGCCATGTGCACAGACGCTACTCGGGTACCACACCTGGCAAATTCCCACAGCCACCCCTCTTTGACTGGTATTTAAGGAGCTGGCCACCTGAAGTTCCCCCTTTTCCCTTCTGAGATGTTAGGCTCCATGGTGCTGAGACTGGACAATGCAGGGCTGGCTTCCGAGTCTTGAGCTGTCTAGACCTCTCCCACCTCTGGCTGCTAAAGTGTGGCCAGAGTTGTGAGTGGCAATTCCTCTAATGGCTCCTCTACTGAGGAAGCCTGGGCTCCCCTTCAGCACTGCCACATATTTGCCCTCCAAGGGGTCAGCTTCAACAACTGCCAAGATAGCAGAGTGGAACTGTGGGAATCAGCTGTCCTTCATGGTGGGCATCTGAATGGCCAGTGACTGAGACTCTGCCCACAATTGATACTTGATAAATATAGGCAGGATGAATGGATGAAGGATGAACAAAGAAAGGAAGGTCCCAAAGAATCAGTGCTGAAGGGAGAAGTGTGAGCAGAAAAGCCATTACTACATTAGCCCTCTGGAGGGCACCAAAGTAGAGCCTGCATAAGATCCTCCTAAGCTTTGTTCAAGAATTGTCTTTTTTTTTTTTTTTTTTTCTTTTGAGACAGGGTTTCTCTGTGTAGCTTTGTAGACCAAGGTGGCCTCAAACTCACAGCGATCCACCTGCCTCTGTCTCCCAAGTGCTGGGATTAAAGGCATGCACCACAACCACCTGGCTAAGAATTCAGAGTCTTATGGAGTAATGGCTGGGATCATTGGGTCCACCCACTGGACACTGCAGTCTGTGGGCTTCAGCCTCAATGCTTGTATGAATGTTGGATTGGCCTTGGGAACAAGTCAGGAGAGGGTTTTTATATGGCTTCCACTCCTTCATATGCCCAGGGGTGTGTCTGATCCACTGGGTCTCAGAATACAAGGCAGTACCCCATCTAGATCTAATCAGATGGGCAGGAATGGACGGACAATTACACCCCTTATTCTGTCATTCCCACTAACCAACCCCTCAGGGCTGACCATGACTTTCAGGCTTTTCTCTCCCTACAACTGCCCACATCTGGCCCTAACAGTTATATCTCCCTGTCCTCCGGTGCTAGCCCCTCTCAGCTACTGCTGACATCAGGAAGTCTCTGGAATGGCTGGGCTGGGTGCAGAAAGTCTGTGTTCTGATGTTTAGACTCTTTCCACATTCACCCCACCCCTGCCACATGAAAGCAGGGAACCCCTAAAGTCAGTAACCTCTAAAGATCTTGCCCTTGGGCCCAGCAGTGGCAAAGAGAGCAATAGAATCAGGAACACAAAGGGATGTCTAAGCTCATCTAGAACTAGAACAAAAATCTCTTTCATGGCACTCCTGGCAGATAACGGTCTAGATCCTGTGAAAATACCTCCAGTAGTCAGCACTCACTCCAGGTAGTGTTCAAACACTGGATGGCTTTAGTTGCAAGAGAGCCAATCCATCTGCCCCTCCATCCTTCTCCAATGCTCACTCTTCCTCATAACAACACTCGTCACCTCCGCCCCCTCTTACAGACACACACACACACACACACACACACACACACACACACCTTTATATGATTATATAGGCTATATAGAAACACACTTCTCTTATTACTTATGGGCAACTCCCCTTTCTCCCTTCTTCTTTTCCCAATATCTAGCAAAAATATGGAGGCTGAAGACCAAATGCCAGAGGAATCCCAGGGAAAAGAACTAACTCCCAGCTAACTCCCAGGCTGGGTTGGGCTGGGCAGGAAACAGCATTAAAAAGTGCCAGGCCGTTGGTGGTTACCTCTAGGGGAAAGATCTTGTACATGGGCTGAGCAGGCAGAGTTTGTGCTCCCCTGAACACACACGCTGCTTTTTGTCCCTTATAGGGGATGAGCATGCATCCCCACCCCTTCCCATTTTTCGCTAGCAGTTGGAACAGTTTCCTGGGCTGCCGTTCATGCATGTTAACTGTACCATTTACCAGCCTCCAGGTCCTGTGGAGTCTCCTACCAGCCGCAAGAATGTCATCTCCACTATCTACATGAGGAGAAGGACTTTAGCAGAAGTGGTGATGACCCGAGACATGAGAGTGGATGGGCCAGGCAGGGGGTGGGAGAAGGGCTTCCCAGAAGAAAACTTGAAGCAGAAACACCCTAACAGGTTAGCAGCTACCTACCTGGCTGGGCCTTGAACAACCTAGTGATACCCAGGTGGCCATTTCCCCTCCTTGCCAGAATGCACCTGAGGGTTATAAATCCTCTGAGGGTTGAAGACCTGGGGTGGATATGAGGCCCTTTCTAGGGGAGGTTGTGGTGTTTCACAGGTGGAGACAGGGGTGCTGTGGTCTTACGTTCAGGAGGAACTGAGACAGAAATGGCAGGCGTACTTGCCAGCTATTTGTCCTGCTGCTTGGAGCTTTCAGTCCCGACATTGAACATGGGGACCAGCAAGCCCAGAAGCCACCTCTTTCCGAAGACCTCCTGTAAGTTCTTGCGCCAGGGCCGGGCTCTCACTGCTACCCCTTTTCGAACCTGGTAGCGGGTCTGCCCCCGGAGGATCAACAGCAGCTGGTGGCAGCAGAAGCCTGCACAGGCCAGGCCGACAGCAAACCAGAGGTAGAGCATGAGGATGACGAACATATCAGAACCGAGGACAGCTCCTGCGGGGGGGGGGTGGAGGGAAACACCAGCCGGCTTTACACCCAGACCACATACCCAGGGGCTCCCCGCTCCGGCGCTTTCCGCCGCCAGGCAGCGAGAGAGGCTCACGAGCTGGAAGTTGAGATTTGTAGCAATCTCAGCTCTGCAGCCTGTGAGATTGTGGCTGAGTTCCTTGCCCCAAGTGTTCCTTAGTGCTGAGCTCCCGAGGAGAGGGGAAGAACCGGGGGCCTAGGGAGATGGAGAACAAGCTAGATGAGCTCAGCAAAAAGAGCCCTCAGCATTTCTGGCACAGCCTAGACGCTGCACATTTCCCAAGAGGCAGAAATGCTTCCCATTTCACTTTCTGGATTGAACTTAGGACCCTAAAGAGGGAGCTGGCATCTGGGCATCTGTCCAGACTGCAGTCAGTTCTCCTGGTTAGGCTGGGAGTACTGTCTGGGAGGATCTGGGAAAGTGACAGCATGATGAAGAACAGGACCCGGTCATGGGAACAGTCACGAGCTCGGCTTCAAGGGCAGCGCACAGAGCCGACTTAGAGAACAATTCAGTCATTAATGTTAACAAAAGAAGGAGACACTGGAACACTCAGCCAAAGCTGTCCTGTCAGTCACACCAGTGGGCTAAGGCACCAAGAGGCCCCTAAGGCCACCAGTTCAGCACCCTAACATGGAACAGCACCTTTTCTACACCCTCCAAACCCAGCACTGCCTGCGGCTTTTTTGTTAAAGGTCCACCAGCAAGAGATCTCATGTGTCCTCAGAGTTTGAGATGGGAGGATTAGTTCATGTTGGGTTTGAATTTCCCAGCTGTGTGGACTTCTGCGGGTTTCTTAACCTCTCTGAGTTGTAGGTTACTCATCTGCAAAATGGCTATAATAATGCTTCATAGGTTTACAGGATTGCAGGAGTTTGGAGTGGCCAGAGTTGTGGTTTTTATAGTCAGTGCTGAATATCACGGCTCAGAGGAGGAGAATAAGACCCTCCAGGCTTCCCACACCTTTCCAGGGCTTGGAGTCCTGTCTGGGCTGCAGCTTTGGTAGCTGTAGTAAACACATCTATCTTGACACGCATAACAGCCAGAGTAGAGAGGGTTGTGAATAGAACTCAGAGGCCTTTCTTTACCTCTCAGCTGGACAACCACATCACCACCTTCTGCAGCCAGGCTTGGGTGCCTGCTTCAGGATGTCATTTTACAACCCAGTCTACCCACACACACCTCTCCAACGTCTTCCCTTCCCCAGCACCTCCATCCCCCAGCCTACCTCTTCCCAGGCTCCAGTTTCCAGACTCCTGAGAAGTAGGCTTCAACACCTGCTAGTCTGATCCATGATGGATTCAGCAGCCAAGATGAATCGATCTGCTGGCTTGCTCATCTGAAACCTCTCTCCTCAACCCTAGGAGCTTGGGTTGCTGGATTTTCTTTGCAAAGTTAGAGACAAACAGGTCTAGCTGCCCAGAGGAAAGAAATCTTGTTCCAGCTGGCATTTAGAGAAGCCCCTCCACCATTGTTGGGGCATCAAAGAGACAGACACAAATGGGAGTGGGCCATCCCATGACCCACTTTTTCCTTGTCAGTACCAATTAGCTTGAGCAACCATGTACAGGATGGAGACTCCTGGGGACATGGTGCCCTTCCAGCCTGAGGAACACTGATGTGCAAGCGAGCCCTCAAGTAGGATGTGAGAGACTCAGCGCTGTCAAGCTCAGGCCTGTCTTGCAACTCAGCCCCAGGAACAAGCCTGGCAGATGGAAACCGTTTCCCACAGGTTTCTAAATCAAGGAATGAGACAAAAACCTTTTGGCTTTTTGCTGGCCCCATGCAGCATCTACAAAAGGCTATTCTGGGGACCTGCTTTCTTTCTTTCAAAGTGTTTGAAGTTACCTGGCCTGGCTGCTTCAGTGCCTCTAAACTATGTAATAATTGTTCCTCTTTCAGAAAAATCAAAACTTTCTTAAGGGTTCTGAAAGATTACATCATCTAATCTCTTCTGTCCTGCCCCCTCCCCCCCCCCGTGCCACAACCATCTCTAGCACTTCTGCCAAACCACTCCCCAGCATTTTCTATAATACATTTGGGCATAGGCAGCCCCCCTCCTCCCAAAGAGGCCCATTCAGCAAGGAAGCAAGACTAGACATGGAGGGTGGTGGGGTAGAAAAGAATAAACCCAGAATCCAAAGCTGCACAGCTCAGAAGCAACTTAACCTGGCGGAGCCTCTGGCTCCCCAGCCTTGAAAAAATAGCTGTCTCCCAGATTTGTGCTAAGGGTTGGATGCTGGAGACACATCCAGGCAGAGCATAAAACAGTTACTCAATATGTTCTAGCCACCTTTTTCTCCTACTTGCCCCTCTAGTGGATTCTAGCAACGGATACTAATCCAAATGCCATTGTCCATGCAAATGGTGTCATCTCCATTTTCTAGATAAGAATGGAACTCATGCAGGTGACACAAAGCCACAAGGAAGGAACTCTTTTCAAACTTCAACTGACCCTCTCGTTTACCTTTGGTGTTAGCCGAGGGTCTGGAGTTAGTGGCATCTGCATTTTTGGAAGTTTCATTTTTAGAACACCCCCTAACATACACACAAAGGTGGGAGACTTTCAGGGCCCACCATCTCAGGTGCTAGTGGCAGGTCTTGACCTCGGAGTAATTTCTAGTAAACAACTTCCTTGGTCCACTCTTCTGCCCACCTGTTCTCCTGAGCAGCTAAGAGGGGATGCTCTGGACCATTTGGACCAGGAACGGGGGAAGAAGAGTCTCAAAGGAGGAAGAGGAACAGGGGAGAGAGAGAGTGAGTGTGTGTGTGTGTGTGTGTGTGTGTGTGTGTGTGTGTGTGTGTGACTGTGAGAATGTGTGCATGCATGTGTGAGTGTGTGAGAGTGTGTGTATGCACGTGAGAATGTGTGTGCATGAGTGTGTGCCTGTGTGAGTGTGTGAGAATGTATTGTGTGCATGCATATGTGTGTGTGTGTGTGTGTGTGTGTGTGTGTGTGTGTGTGTGTGAGTGTGTGTGTGCTCACGCAGAGAGCCAGGGAAGGATGTGAAGGGTCAGTAAAGGAGGAAGACGAGATGGACCTGGTGATGAGAAGTCTTGAATTCCCTTTTCTAGTGGGCTTGGTGAAGGATGGTGAGGCTCATTCTAAAGCCAGAACAGATGCCTGGGCCCTGAGGTGGGCATGGGCTGGCTCTTTTCTCACATCAGATCAGAGCAAGAGGCTTCCTTTCTTCCATATTTCCCAAACCTAGCACATATGGACAGGCCTCACGCCAGACTTAAATCAAACCATTTCAAGGTCTTCCTTCTGGAACCACCCATTTTTATGGTTGGTGAGACTACTTGGAAAAAGATGTGTAATCAAGTTCTCTGGCTCTCCTCATCACTCCACCTGCCTGCTCTCACACTCCACCCCCAGCCCACCCACCTACCCTCCCCCATCTTGCTTATTTTTGTCTTGGCAGCCTTCTATGCCAGCACCAAGATCCAGAAGGCCCCAGAGCTCCAAGTTCTGGGCCCAGCTTCGCCACCAGCCATCCAGGCATTTCCCATGGCTGGTCCTCCCTAGGCCACTGTGTTCCCCCTGCCAACTGACATGATAGTTCTATGTCTGGGAAGAGCTGGGTTATAGGTACAACAGAGGCTGAAATGAGGCTTCCCCTATGGTGTACAGCCAATGGTTTCAATTGCTCAGTCCAGTCCAGTCCAGGTGCATCAGGACAGTCAGGCTTTCTGTAGAAAAAGCTGTCTTTCTTTGACCCTAGAAGGTCAATTACCGTGCTTGGGAATATGGGATCTGAGAAAGAGCACTGAATTGTGGTTTAAGCACCTGGATACAAGCCACAGATAGTTATTCCAGGGAAGTAAGACACTAGGCAGGTTATTTAGTCCAAGCTAAGACTCAGTTTCTTTATCTGAGAAATGGACCCAAGAACACCAGACACACACCTTTGTGTGCACACTACTGATTGTTGAGAGCAAATTGGTCAGAATCAAAGGTCAGGGTAAGAAAAGAGTGGAAGGAAATGAAGTAGGGACAAATGCCAAGCCCAAGTAAAATAGAATTGTCACCCAGGAGCAAAGTCTCACAGGGCTGAGTATCATGGGATGTTCTTTGAGACATACAATTCAAACTACAGTCCTCACCATGGTGCTTGTATTAGGACTAGTGTGCCTAGCTCCAGCAGGTGTCAGAGCTTTCCTGAGGAACAGATCCCACACCAGACTGCATCTCCGGAGTGTGGACTTGTAGCCAGTGAGGAGGCTCTCAGTCACCTGCCAACTGCAGAAGAGCCTGGTGGAGTCAAACTTAGTGGGCCGGAGATTGGAGGTAGTGGTTAGCCTCCTGCAGAGCATGACCTGAAGTCAAGCTTAGCCTCACTGTGGTTGTTTGGTAAGAGGTCCTGAAGGAATTTGTGGACAGGACCGCTGAGGGAGGTGGGGAGTCCAGGCCAATGGGGAACATAGCATCAGCTCCAAGGCCAGAGCTTAGCCTGAAAGGCGTATATAGCTTGGTTGCCATAATTTTTATGAGTAACAGATAGTATGAAAGATGAGGAGGGTCGAATGTCAGAGGAAACAGAGCATGCCCAGATAATCGGTATCTCTGCTAGATTGCAATCTGCTCTTTTAATATGCGACCTGAAATACTGGGGCATAGCCATACCAAACGACCGTTTATCTGACACTTGGAGCTGAATATCCTGTGTTTTTATTTGAAAAAACTTGGGGTCGGGCTAGGAGGTCTTGTCTGCCAGACCTACCAAGGCCCACTCACCGGAGAAGAACTGGCTGATTGAAGTGGGCAGGAGCGTGAGGAAGGCCAGGGGATGGGAGAAGGAGATGGAAAGGACAGCTGAGATGTAGGCCACGCCGGCCACCATGGAGTAAAGACAGGCCAGTGAAGTGTACAGGCAGAACAGGACGAAGTTGCGCATGTTCCTGCTGCCGATGCAGTTGCCGGTGAAAAAACAGTGATGGTCGTGCCTCAGCGTGACTCGGGAGCACACTCGGCAGAAGTGGGTGCTCGGCGGTGGGCACTGAGATCGCTGGGATGAGGTTGCCTGGCAGGTACCCAGGTCGTCTGGGGAGTTCTGGATGACCAGGACGTAATTGCCCAGGGCATTGGCTGAGAGAAACAGGAAGAGTGCCCCGTGAAGCAAGGCAGGCGAGAAGAGCGGGGTGGCTGTGGGGTCCTCACGCATGCTGGGCAGGAAGAGGAAGAGCTGCAGTACGAAGGTCACCAGGGAAATGCAAAGGAAGTAGGCGGGGGCCACCACGTTGAGCAGCCGCAGGGCCAGCATCTCCTCGATTACATTCCTAAGGGGCGCAAGGAGAGAGGAAGCCTTACAGCGTTGTCCATGGTCATATTGGTGCTCTTCTCCTTGTCGTCGACGGGGAGGGCGGTACACAAATCTCCCAAACTCTGCCCCACGGGTTCCCTAATTTGGGACCAAACAGATTAGAGACCTAGAGACCATAGCGGCCTGCCTCTGGCCAGACGCATTTCGGATAAAGTCGCTCTTGCCTTGGAGGTCAGCCACAGGGGGGAAGGGCCTGTTTGCAGTCTGGAGTGATTGTCTGTGGGGGAGGGGAGGGGTTTAGGAGCTGACGGGGTAGAACTGCTACAGTGTCACAGCAGTAAAAACAACTCACTTTTGGGATCTCGGGTAGAGGCTTCTCTGAGAGAAAGAGAAGGACCAGGTGGGGCTGGAGAGACCCGTTGGACTCTTGGAAAATCCTGGTTTACCCCTCCCCCCACTCCCATGTTGAACAATATTCTGTGACCTCACAGGTAGGTTACCCAAGACTCTTTGGAAGTAGCTGTGCATGATGTGTGTTCCCTTGTGTGCGACTCGTGTCTTATCTGTGTGCGTCTGGGTTTGTGTGTGTATACCCACCCCCTGCCACCTGGCTTTTTCTTTTAAAAATCAATTAAACAGTCGATACAGTGCTCAGGGGCTGGGTAGGGTGGAGGTGTAGCTAGATTATTTGTGCCAGTGGGTCCTGATCAGTTCATTTCCCAGCCGCTGGTTACCCTGACTATTTCTATAAAAATCTTTGCAAAGAGTGTTTTCCTTTGAGGCAGTGAAATTGAAATCCCCCATTCTCACCCGCCTTTCTCTTTCCTGGCGGGAGAAACCCAAACAATCCCCAAGGCACCGAAACCCTTTCGATGCCAAGAAGCCCGTCTTGGATGGACTAGTGGATGCTCGAGCTTTTCTTGGGATGACACCCCTACACAGAGCCCAACGCAACCTCACCTCCCACAGCCGGGACCCCTGCACAACTTCGGATACCACGGGGAAAGAGGTTCTGTGTATCCAGAAGAACTTTCCAGTGATCTAAGTAATCGGCCAGAAGGAGGCACGAGAAAAGTTCTGGGAAGGTGTCTGCACCCAGGATGGATGGATGCCACAGGGCCTGGGTCCAAGCTCTTCCGTCTGTCTGGGCTGAGACATTGGTCACCTTGTGATCTTTTTTTGCAGGTGACTGTGCTTACCGCTCTAGGGACCGGCGGTCTCTCTGCACAGCTGGGGCGTAGCTCAGGGCACAACCGGGGGGGGGCCCTGGGGG